GCAGTTTGGCAGGAATTCATGTACTGAGTTACTACCCATAAGTATTTTTTCTCACTAATAAAAGAAACAAACATATTTTTAATGTTCTGATGTGGTATGGCATAGTACTTTAGTAAATAGTAACCTAAAAAAAACCATCTTCTTCCATTTCACTTGTTCTTTTGCTCTTCCTCATTTTAGATGTGACATTCACTATTCCTTTGCAGAAAATGTTTCATAAGTGTTTCAATGATTTAATCTGTTCAATTTTTGGATGACCAACTTGAGATTTCTTGTTCCTGGTTTTCATCAGTAGGAGCTGTGACTGGTCTGCACCTCTGAAAATAAAGAACAAGGTATCTCAAATTGTGCACTAAAAACGGGTGGTACCCCAGATTAGCAAACACTTCTGGAAATGTTATCTTACTTTTTTTAAAAAGTACTGTATGTGTGTGTGGGGGGGTGGGTGGTGAATTTAGGGTTGCCAACTTTCTAATCACACAAAACCAAACACCCTTGCCCCGCCCCCGGCCCCAGGTCCTACTCCTGCCCCTTCTCTGAGGCCCTGCTCACTCCATCGCCCCTCCCTCCATCACTCACTCTCCCCCAACCTCACTCATTTTCACTGGGCTGGGGCAGGAGGTTGGAGTGTGGGAGGGGGTGAGGGCTCTGGCTGGGGGTGCAGGCTCTGGAGTGGGGCTGGGTGGGTTTGGGGTGCAGGAGGGGGCTTCAGACTGGGGCCGAGGGGTTCAGAGTGCGGGAGGGGCTCAGGGCTGGGGTAGGGGATGCAGGCTTCGGCTGAGGTGTGGCTTCGGGGTGGAACCAGGATGAGATGTTTGGGGTTTGAGAGGGGGCTCTGGGCTGGGACAGGGGGATGGGGTGCGGGCTCTGGGAGGGAGTTAAGAGTGTAAGAGGAGGTTTTGATCTAGGACAGGAGGCTAGGATGTGGGAGAAGGTTGGGATGTGTGCTCCGGCCAGGCGATGCTTATCTCAGATGGCTCCCAGTTGGTGGTGCAGCGGGGCTAAGGCAGGCTTCCTGCCTACCCTGGCTCCACATGGCTCCCAGAAGCAGACGGCATGTCCGGCTCCTAGGCTTAGGGACGGGCGGCCAGGGGTCTCTGTGCGCTGCCCACAGGTGTCGTCCTCGCAGCTCCCATTGGCCATGGGTCCCAGCCAATGGGAGATGCGGAGCCAGCGCTCGGGGCAGGGGCAGCCCCCGTGACTGACCCTGCATCTAGGAGCGAGACATGCTGCCGCTTCTGGGAGCCGCGCGGAGCCAGGGCAGGCAAGGAGCCTGCCTTAGCCCCGCTGCACCACCAACTGGACTTTTAATGGCCAGGTCAGCAGTGCTGACCGGAGTCGCCAGGGTCCCTTTTCAACTGGGTGTTCCAGTCAAAAAACAGATGCCTGGCAAACCTAGAGGAAGAGCACATCAAGGGGCAGCAATTTATATAATAATGATGAAGTCTAGAAATGAACTGGATGACTCAAAAGATATTCTCTCTCAATCTGATTGTACAGGATGCTTCCTACTGTACATCTACAAGTGTTTTACCTAGTCTAAATTTAAATAGAGTAAGTGATAGGCATTTATCATGTTCCTAGGAAAATTACTCCACTATCTGATATTGACTAGCATCAGGAAGTCTTTCCTGATATTTAACTTAAATTTTCCTTATGTAATTTCATCCCATTCTACTTAATTATACTCCCCTCTTCATAATGATCTTCTCCCTTTTTTGTGTGTGTTTACGCACTTCGCATATATATTTGTAAAGTGTTAATATTTGGGTGAACCAATATCTTACCATATATTACACACACAAAAAACCCACCCAGCAACCAACCCTACATTAAAAGAATGTTACTTAAGTTACAAAGTAAAAAACACAAAAGTTAAGAAGTTTCAGGTTTACAGTTGTCTGTCCAAGCTTTTCCTACTATTTACAAAGGCAAAGAATCTAGTATGTAGAAGAAGGAATGGGGGGATGAAATACTATATTTTGAAAAGACTGTAGAAGAATACTATAAAAACAAGATAGAAATGAAATACATTAGAACAGTGTTATTTGAGCTAGTGCCCATCCTTCTGCCACAAGGCTTCCCAGATTGACTACACACCCAGTTTACTTTTATGAAAAGACTGCAGCGTTTATTAGAGGGCAATACTTATAAATTACAGCTGAAATACCTAACTAAATGGAGGCTAACCAGAAGCAGGAAAGATTGCTGCCTTCTGTGAGATCTAGAGCATGCATGTCAGAAAAGTGAAAGCCATGCCACAGCTAACTGAGCATTGCGTGACATGTTTTTCACTTCACTTGAGAGGAATGCCACAAAATAGCTGCACCCCCGTCCAACTGTTTGTCTAAGCAATTCTTGTTTTCTTGTTTTCTCTCCTACATAGTGTACTGGAGTAGTTAAAATGAGAAATATTATTAACTTGTTTAGTTTTTGTTTGGATAGCTTGTGCATAGATGAATTGTGTAATTAGAGCTGGTTAGGAAATTATTTTTCCCAGGAAAATTTTCAACATTTGTTTAAATTAATTTTGATCCAACATTTTCTTCAGATTTGGGGGAGTTTTGGAGAAACCCCAAAAAATGATGGTTGTGGGGGGTTCAGCAAGTGAAAACTGGAAAATATGGGCTCAAAACCCACAAAAAATTCAGTATTTTAATTGCCAAAAATTGCACTTTTTCAATTAAAATCCAAAATATGATGTTGACATAAAATTTCTGTTTCAACAAAAGACTCTCTTCCATACAAAAACAGGTTTTGAGGGAAAATTTTCTACCAGTTCAATGTGTAACCCATTGATTAAGCTGTGAACCCAGAGTTCCCTCCTGAATGTTAGGCCAGGTCTACACTAACC